TAAAAAGAGGACGCCGTTCGGAAAGATAAATAGAATAGGAATCCGTGGAAAGTCCCGGCAAGAGCAGCAATGAAAGTGATGCTTTTAAAAGAGGAGCCGGAGCGCATACGTACACGTTGGCATAGAGTAAGAAACTTTTTTTTTTTTTTTTTTTGCACAAAACAAGAGTTATTAAAAGTTTGACCCATGTACTGAATCGATCCATCATTTCTTATCTTTGAATCTATTTCACTTAAAACTGAGTCATAGAAAGTAGGTTTGTGTATTTCTCAAGTAGGTTTGTGTATTTCTCAAATAAAAGACGATTCAAGGACAGTTTATTTTGAAATGGAATGATTCAGTTAGATTTGGTGGTATTACACTTTGGTTCAATCTGGTCTGGCAAATTTTGAGAGTGTGATGAAATTAATTTACAACATGAATAAACTTGTCAGTAGCGCTTCTGTAAATTTGGCATTTCATTCTCCAATAGACGGTTCGATATGTACAGTATATCGATATATTTCAAAGTGGAACAATTTGATTTGGTTTGATTCAATGTACCTTTTTAAATCCAAACTTTTCTGATTCAAATTGTTTTTTGTAACAGTAACCAGAATAACAAATTAGTAGTAGCACCTCCTTGACCTACAAGTTTTTCAAGTTATGAGTCGTCATTCAGCCGATTTTGAGAGCAAAATTAGTTGAGACACTGATGCTGCTCAATGGTGGTAGTCAACTCAAAGTCAACTCCCCTCACAAATTAAAAGGGGGCTTCAACCTGTTTATTTACGCTAACACGTCAAGTTTTCTGTCAAACTCAACATAAAAGAAAGACAACTGCGTGCAGTGTAAAACAAAACACACAACTTTGCCTTTGGAACGTCCGGTAGATTACTGCAGTCGAAAACTGCAAAACTTCCTCCGCCGTTGTATGTATACAATCTATTTTTTTTCAGTCACCACATCGAGAAATTTGGGTACCTGCACGCATAGAGCGCTGTTATGAATATATATTTTTAACTAACCGGCTGATTAACTGGTTGCACAAACCACCTGTACGAACCAGACTTTCGACAGATGACGGGGAGGAATTCTCCGTGCATGCGCCGATCTGCTTGTTCTGATGTCACTTGTTGCCACATTAATGTTATTACTTGGCACTTATTCTTAACCAACTGGAAACTTGATTGGCTGTATATTGGCTGCTAAGGTATTATGCATCCATCCATCCATTATCCAAGCCACTTTGTCCTCACGAGGGTCGCGGTCGTGCTGGATGCTATCCCAGCTGTCTTCGGGGCAGTAGGCAGGGTACACCCCAAACTGCTTGCCAGCCAATCGCAGGCCACACATATATGAACAACCATCTGCTCTCACAAATCACACCAAGGGACAATTTCAAGTGTTCCATGAACCTGCTGTACATGTTCTTGGAACGTGGGAGGAAACCGGAGTCCCCGGAGAAAACCCACGCAGGCACGCAGGAGAACATGCAAACTCCACACAGGAAGGCCGGAGCCGGAATCGAACCCTGCACCTCTGCACTGTGAGGGGGACGTGTTAACCATTCGAGTACCGTGCCGCCATTAAGGTATTAATGACTCAAACTAACTTTGTGTATATTTTTTAATCTATTTTATTGTTCTACATCTCAATGGCAATGCTCAATAGTATTGATAAAAAAAAAAAAAAAAAAGCTATTTGCTCTTAAAAAGTATATAATCGATTTGAGATGCTCTATTATCATATCAGCTGCATAAAAAAATAACACATCAATGTTTTATCATGGGTTTCTAGGAAACTATATCATTCAAAATAAAATCTCTTATTGTGACAGGTGAGTGACCTGCTAATTTTCTTTTGTCGACAGGAGTGACCGACACCCATCCGATATAGAGTGGAAAAACTCTGGGTGATTAAGATGATGAGAACGATTGACATCTTGAATGTGAAGGTACGACCTGTTAAAAAGTCACAACAAACACTCTGACACGCTTCAAGTAAGCCTACAGTCCTGACGCTCATCTCAAATGATCTTTTCCCATTGAAATGAATGAAAATATCATTAATCCGTTCCAGCCTTCCTTAAAAGGTTAGAATTTAGTCAGGGAAATACACCACTTCAGGTTATTGTTATTTATCAAAACCATCCATTCATCCTTGATGCAAATCACTTATAGGCACGAGAGTCGCAAGTGTGCTGGAGCCTATCCAAGCTGTCTTCAGGCAGAAGGTGGAGTACAGTAACATGAATTGGTTGCCAGCCAATTACATCGAAAACAAACAGTAATAACATAATTAAACAGAATTAAAAAGACAGGTGGTGTGACACTGGTATGGACTCCAGCACACCCATGACCTTCGTGAGAATAAGCAGGTCAGATAATGGCTGGATGGATAAAATGAATTACACAGTTTATGACACATGGCATTGGTGGAGGCAGTGTCAATGCATTACAGTGCACTGGGCCAGCCCATGAATACTAAAAAATAAATAAAAACCCTTGCAAAATTTGTTCCAAGATCACTCGTAAAAATGTAATAAGCGTTTTCTCCGAAACACTGGGGGGACAATTAGAGAAGGTTTTGAATTTTACAAGTGTTCTCAGAATTACATTACAGTAAAGCTCATTATTTAGAATCAATTTTATATATTTATTTATTTCCACCTCACCAAGTACTAAAGTGTGGGAGGGGAAAAAACATACCAGGTCTAAACAGCAAGGCCGTCGCATGAATTCAAATGCCAAAGCTTCTGATTTGTGAGGCAAAAATGAAGTTCATGATGCAAGATTCCACTATACATACCTGTGTGGCGCAACACCTACAAAAGCCAGTTGACTTAACCCGTCTAACAAACAAACTGTGACATAGCTGACTTCATTTAAACCGATTAAACATTTTGACTTTTGATCAAAAAGGGGGCGAAAAATGCTCACACTAGGCCCAATTATCGATATGTGTGAGAGCCGCTTGAAAGGAAAATGTGAATGAATGACAAATCTTCTGTTATAGGTCTTGAAGCGCCAATTTTGCGAGATCCCTTGCTCATCTTAACTGGGACTCACAAAGAAGTATAGGTCACCGCAGATGATGGCGTCAACTGATTAATGTGTAATGTAAATGTAATGACTGATCTCACCGCTCCAGAAACTTGACCTCTTTCTTTTCTTTTTCTTTCCAGCTGTCTTACTGCCAGTAAATGAAAAAGACTGTCAAGAAGCCCTCGTCAATATTCAATAGAACACACTAGCATAAACACACAGGGAGGAAATAAGCTTTCTTGTCATAATTGAACATATAATTTTAGGATTACGACTTGAATTAGAGCCAAAACCCTGATCAACGGCCATGGTAATTACAAGGTGGCATTCATTCTCAGGCAACAAATGTCATTTATAAGCGAAAATAAGACTTATTTTACACACCACTGTTCAAATGCTTCTTTTCGTGATGTAAAAAAATTAGACCATAAATCATTTCAACACTTGGTCCCCCATTAATGTGATATATCCTGTTACAGTTAAGTTAGGGAGGGAAAAAAAAGAAACCTTTTAGAGAGGGGAAGTAAACCACAGATATCGTTTATTTTTCCAAGCAAACTCTCAAACTGGAGATGAGGTAGCCGGGTCCAGTTTTAAACAATCTCATTCATCAATACATCCATCTTCTCTGTTAAATAGGAGGCATCGTACACGTGCTACCGTTGAAAGTGCCTTTGGTAAACCCCAAATAAAGTTTAGGTTTTACTGACAGGTTTGTAGTGACGTCTTACGGTCCTCAAAGAGCTTCCATAGTATCAGCATCTTTCGGCCTTAATTCCAGAGAGTATGTTTAGCACATACCAAACAAGTAATGAAACAAAATACATGGAATAAAGCATGAAAAAGTGATTTCTATTTCAGAAATTTGAGCAATTGATCATTTTCCTGAAATGAGATCCTAACGAGCGAAAAACCCGCAAGTGTGACGTCAAATCAAAACAATAGCGGGGCTCACTATAGGAAGTGTACAAAGCCAGGCAGAAAAGTCATGAAGCAACGTTTCAAATTTATCTTAAGGGGTCCAGGTGTTTGAAGAGTTGGAGGAAGATGATGTTGTTGGCAAGATGTAGGTTGAACCACACATGTACGAGGCAGGTGGAAGAACGATAAGCTATATAGGCTGCGGTTATTAGCCTTGAGTTATTGTTTGCAATTCGAGGCTGCGCCATGCTGTAAATTGCGCACAATGGGATTACAGTACCTACTTAGTGCATGCAGTCACGCTAGCACGGAGAGCACACTTTATAGTGGGTTGGTATCCTACATTGTCATTGCTAATGTAGTTCTGCTGCGTTGTTGGCCACTCCACACATTATATCGGCAACATTGTTAGTTCCAAACTATGACAGAGCATCCCATCCATGCACTCAAATAGTTTGAATGTTTTCATACAGGATTACATCCATGTACACGTACGGTACTTTGAATCAAATGCTTTCATGAACAAAAGCGAGAGTTATTCATTGATGATCACAGCTACTTTATTTGCAAATCCGATCGAGAAAACAGAGGTCTTCTAAGTGCGTGTAAGAAAGAATGCTCGTTGACAACGGGGTGAAATTCATTCGCTCTGCGAGAATGAAACTGTATCGCTCCAATTTTCTGGTCCATTTATGTACTCTATTCTTTTCTTTTGACCAATCAAACAAATGTTTGCCTGAATGTGAACAGTGCATTGCAACACAGCACCAAGGAGTTTCGCCGTATAACTCTAACAATGGGAAAGAGCAGTTAATAGGACAATCAACAGGGCATTACAATGGCTGGCTGGTGACTCGGCATTCTGTAACTGACGTCACTTGCCGGAGATTGCCGAACAAATGCATTTTCGCTGTTAAGCGCGTTGCAATGGGTCTAATTATGAACCTGGGTGAGTTGCGTGACAAAAACTAATGAAAGTATGCTTGAAATAGTTTTAGCTCTAAGTATTACGGTACTCGGAAAATGGTTGGTCAAGTTTACTTCATACATTACCTGTAACGTTTTGGGATGGTCTACAATTGAATGTGATCGAACGTCTGTGGGATGATCTGAAGAGCGAGCAAATATTGCTATAACAAGTTGGGTCACACTGACTGACTCCTACTTAAACGGACTGGGTGGATTCTGTAATAATGTCAAAAGGTGCTGTAACAAAGCATTCTTTTAAGGGCATGCATATTTATGCAACAAGGTTATTGTGGTTTTCCCTTTTTCGTTTCCGCCGAAAAGCATTTGTTTGTTTTTCAATCGAGTTTTATAAGTAATAAGTCATGTTAATGGGCTCCAAACTAAGTACCGAGTTGTGGGTATCGACATTAGGATTTGCATTACATGTGTCTCGCTGAAATACATCAGACGAACCCTTGCAGCCACTGATCCAGGATACAGAATTTCCTACCTTTTAATTCACCATGAATGATTCCTCAAAAAGTAAGATGCATTTATCAAGATTTCTCTCTTCTGGCACACTGGGTTTATTGGGAAGAAAGTAAGCAATGTTAGTCCTCCTTTCAATTGTTTACTGTTTACCTGTAGGCTCATGCAATAACCCAGACGGCCACCTCTTTTCACGCATTAGCCAATCACAGTGGTCTCCAAACTCTGGCTTGTTTTCTTCATTTTGCGTTTCTCTCCTTTCATCGTCTTTCGAGTTAATGTCAGTTGGCAAACGAGCACCTTCGAGCATCGTCGCCAACAACTGGGCTGAAGAAATAATGATTTTTTTTTTTTTTAAGTAAAATTTACTTGTTGCACATGCGCGAGTAGATGGTCACAAATTGTGGGGGCAAAATATGACTAGTCTAGAGCCCAGCATTCAGGAGAAAAACGGATTTACCTCAAGGCTTTTTTTTTAATCACACAAACCTGGCATTTGAACAGGGGTGTTGACTTTTCAATATCCACTCTATAACTTTTCGTATGTGTTTCGAGGCAGACACACAAACACACGCACACAACTGCTTGGCTCTGTTTCCAGGACAACCTCATCCATCACCAGCACCTCACCCTCAAATAAGCTTCGGCAACACAGATAGTGCCATACTAAGTGCATTATAGGTCTAGTTGTGACTAATGCAGAGGATAACAGTTGATGCTTGGCCCCGTTCCACACATCAAAGATGAAAATGCAAAGAGGTTGCGTTATGACGTAGGCAAACAGCGGAGAAACAATAGCGTTCAGTGAATCTTAGTCGCGCTCTGTGGGAGATGTAATTGTTTGGGGAGGTCAAGGATGACAAATTAGGCCTATCACCGTCACACTGCATCACCCACGAGACCAACCTGGAGGGGGTATTTTTTGGGAGGCTCAGGCAACCCAGGTTGTGTAGTTTCTATGCTTTCTAGCCAATCGAGTGTGGTTGTGATATAAAAGAAATGTGATTCTTTGTGATTGTTCACTCACCTGCCCAGAGAAAGGGAAGACGAAGCCCACTTCCCTGCTCGGCTACGTCCGCTGGCTCGCTGCTGAAGCGGCGCGGTAAAAGCGGGTTGAGTAGGGGGCGGTAGTCGATGGAGGACGTCAGGCTTTAGCTTCAAGCCGGAGGGATAGCTCATACGAGGCGGAGAAACGGACCGGCGAGAGAGGTTTTGAAACCGGTCGAGGCAGAGGGAAATCTCCCTTTCCACGACAGACAGTTTGGTAACCACTACACGCGGAGGGATTTATGTCTTTCATAAACCACGGGGTTGAAGTAAGGTTTCACGCATGCGCATAACGGCAGTGACGTCTGGCACCTGCCTCACGGCGTTTCGGCCAATCAGAGTCGGCGGGTTGATGACTCACCAAACTCCCTCCGTGTGTAACGTCATACAATACCATATTCTTCCGACTTGCTTAAAATAAACTGAATTTACCTTTGAATACCTTTACATGCTGACTATTCTAGTTCATTCCAATGTTTTCTTCTTATTTTGATGAGAAAATCACACTGCCCTCTAGAGTCGATCGTTTGCACTTCCATTGCATCATGACTACTGCAGTGTTTCCTAACCTCAACTGTGCCAAGGAACATTTTGCTTATTCACCAAACACCACCACCAAAGTATAAACACTGAAATACCGATGCTCTAGTTTCAATCTGCTCTCAATTGAACTCGCTCGGTGCAAATTATGGGCTTGTTTAATTGGACGTAATGTTGATAAACATAAAAGAAGCCCCAAGTCATTCTACATGTATACTCTCAATGGTAACAAGTGGTTGCTGTGTCGGGTTTTTGTATCTTCTGCCATCTAGTGGAAAAACATTTAATTGTTCTGTCTGTCACAATACAGTACATTACTGGCCCAGACAGATCAACGAAGATGTATTTCTAATTTATGATTTTCAGACAAATTAAGCGAAATTGGATACATTCCTGTAGCACCCCTGATTATCTCTCACGGCAAATTTAATATTTTATGTACTGTAGTCATGTTGCTGCCTTATGGTAAAATAATCCTCACTATGGCAATGGGTGGGCTACCCTTTTATTCTTAAACATGAAACTAGTGTTCAGGTAAGGCAGGTAGTTAGTTAGCTCGATAGATAGAGTAAAGCACATTTAAAAATCTCTTGGAATTGCATGATACTTCAAATAAATCTTCCTCATCTTCATGTTTCAATCGGTGCCTCCGTGTAACCAAATACAAATCTGATATTCCAGCCACAATAAACGGGATAGCTTGTTCTGCGCTGTTTTTTTTTTTTTTTGTAGTAGCAGTGCAACATGGTGGGCTAAGGGACATTTCAATAAACCCACACACATCCATCACCTTGTATATACTGTTAAGATGTAGTACTGTAGTTGGTATTTTTCCCTGCTGGCAAATGTCACACTTGTCCTGTGTTAAATCAACTAAAAGCTCATTCTGTATAAATGATGGCCAAGCCCTGGAGGGAAAATGTCCTGAAAATAAGACTGAAAGCCGAGGTCACAGCACTCGACTGCATCTTTATTAACCCACGTCACAAAGATCCGATTGTACTGCACATTACACTGTGGCACTTGAGTCAGCATGCGAGAAGATACTGAAGAACCAACATAAATAAAACCTTCATTCAGCATATAAACCCCAGTTTTACATACCTCATTCTTCAAGTACTGCACAGATAGACTGTGGTCGTTTTACTAATTTAAACATAACCTTAATTCAATACAAAACAACACAAAGCAATCTGCTTTAATTCTATGAGGTGCTGTCACTAAATGTCATTTTTGGTTTACAAAAGCGAGACAGCTTTACACACACTATGTACAGACATTTCCACTCAGCTGTGCAGATATTGACACTGCTTTGTTTTTCCCCAGGCGCAGAAACTAGAATTCTTAGTGCAAGCTAATTCCATGTCACAAACATGCTTTGTTCCCCCTTTTTAGTTTCCATTTCGTCACCCGTTGTGAGCTCAACAGTGCTGACTTTATGCAGTACGTTTGTCCAAATAAAAGGGAACTATGAGGCCTAATATTGTGTCCTTCATTTGACGAGGACCTCTTCCTCCAGTTTGGTGACAAAAGTCCTTTTGTGGCTTTATTAGGAACACAAAATGTACAAAAAAAGTGTGCTGCTGTGCGCTCTCAACAGGAAGGTCATCTCGTGTCCAATGTGGTCCTTTTAAGTAGCTGCGGGATAGTGCACCTAAAAGAAGTGTTGTGAGAAATAGAAAAATCCCCCATGTGTCTTTGCACTACTTAAAGTACATGAAGTGCCAAGATGTCATCTATTTGGTGGTTCAGGTACGGGTGATGGGTGTGCTGTGGTTGTGAGTGTGGTCTGTATGAAAAAAAAAAATACTTTCTCAAAGCAACCTGATGTATTAGATTACATTCTCAAATAGCTGCATGGAGTTCATGATGTTCTCATCCTGGACAGAAAAAAGATGGAAAGATATTTAATACATTGAAACAACGATATGAGAAAATATGATCCATCCAACGATCATTTTCGATAGCACCTATCGCCATTTTGGTTCCGTGTGAGCTGGAGCCTATCCCAGCAGACTTTGCGGCAAGAGATGGGGCATGCCTTCGACTGGCTGCCAGCCAATCACCGATAGACAAAGAACCATTCATATCAACAACTATGGACCATTTAGACATTTCAGTAAATCTTATACGCATTATTTTAGAATGTGAGATGAAGCCAGAACAAGGAGACCATGGAAACTCCAAACTATGCTGGAGCAGAGATCCAAACCCTTAAACTCAGAAATGTGAGGAAAAGACACAATAACCACTCATTCACCTTGCCCATATACATATAAATCAATAAAATAACGATCATATTTTTTTGTATAAACATTTAAAAGGCAGGGTTCACCAAACCAGACATCAAGGCGAGGTTAACTCAAGGTTAACTTTCAGCCCACAGGATGATCATTTGTGGCCCCTCCTCAACATCAAAGTTTAACGTAGTGTGGCCAGCCGTTTTTTTGTCATGTCATTTCCCTGGGTGTTTTGTTTTGTTTTTTTTAGCACGTATGGTTCAGCCCACAGGATGATCATTTGCGGCCCCTCCTCAACATCAAAGTTTAATGTAGTGTGGCCCGCCAGTTTTTTGTCATGTCATTTCCCTGGTTGTTTTGATTTTGGGTTTTTTTTTAGCACTTATGGGCGACCATAAGTCAGGCTCATGACAGCTTTCTGTGAAATGTAATTCGGAAGTGAACAAGAGGACAGAAAAGATACCCCATTTCCCAGTCCCAGTCGGGTCTTTTTCAAAACTTGCCCCGATGGGAAAGGGTGGCAATAAGAGACCAGCCAATTAAAGGAAAAAAATATATACTGTAATCAACATAAACTAAAAATAAATAACATACCTTCATTTATTACAATAATCATGAAGCAAGAATTTGTTTCAATGACTCATTCTGGATCCAAAGCCCGAGTTTGTAAACCCTGTTAAGAATATCCTTTACCTTCTGGCAGGTCTCGATGAATTCTTCGATGGTCACAACACCATCTCGGTTTCTGTCCATTTTCTGTAGGACAGAATTAGGAAAGCAAAAGCAGAGAGTCATACAAGTAATGACTGGAGGATATATGCGACTTTGCGTAAGCATGATTGTTGAGAACCTGGAAGAATTTGTCCACATGCTCAGACGGGGCCTCGTCTCGCACACACGGGTAAGTGTACCTGCCCATCATGTCGTAGATAGACTTCATTATTGCCAGCATCTCCTGCGCGAGGCACAAACGTTCAATTTACGCATACAAGAGGGTTCACTAAATGGTTGACTCAAGCCAAATTAAAAAGAAGTTTTCTATGTTCTCTATGGCTCAACTATATGGTCTTCAATGTACAATCACAATATTTTGCGACAAATAAGAAAAAAGCTCCTTTCCGGATGATGTCATAATGGTTGTGTATAGTATGGGAGGAGGAGATTTGAGCAAAAGAAAGAAACAAGCACTCTGGCCCCTGTAGTACCTCTTTGGTGATGTAGCCATCTTTGTTGATGTCGTATAGGTTGAAGGCCCAGTTGAGCTTTTCTGTGACGGAGCCTCTGAGCAGCACCGACAGCCCGATGACAAAGTCCTCAAAGCGGATCGAACCATTTCTGTCGATATCAAAGGCGTTGAACAGGAAGTGAGCGTACGTGGTGGCGTCTGCAAGGGATGAGAGAGAGCTGGGTTTCAGGTACGTTACCATAGATACAACCTGGTGCAAGGAAAGGAAAGCTAACCTCCTTGAGGAAAGAACTGAGAATAGATGGACTTGAACGTCTCCTCGTCAACCAGACCACTGGGACATTCCTGCCCGAGGGAATATGAGGAGGAAAAAAAAAAAAGGAAAATGCAAATTATTCAGAGCTGAAACACACTGGGTATGTCTTCCTTACTCATGGGTACAAGTTAGAGATTGGGATTCAAATCTAGATCTCGTGACTGTGAGGCAGACATACCAACCACTACTTTTTTTTTTTTTTGGCCTTATTTGACTTTTCAGATCAAAATTTAAAAATGCAGTCCCTGATTAATGACCAGTAAAAATAGCTCATAGCATTTGACAAATTGTGATCAAACCTTGTCAATCAAATCAACAGACTTTTCCCCCCCACATACATTCTTGAAGCCTCTGTAGAGCGACTGAAGCTCCTTTCTGGTGAACTTGGTCTGAGCCTGAAGCTGGTCCAGGCCCTCCGGCTGGTGACGCACCGTCGACAGCTCCAGATCACTGTCACTGTTGTCTGTGGGACAGAGAGAGAGAGAGAGAAGGAAGAGGAAATAGATAGTAATGTGGGGGGGGGGGTGTGCATACAGGCCAACATTCAGGGAGCGTTGGGGGATCTTACATTTAAGAAAGAGGAAGCAGGTAGAGAGAATGTTTTGACAAGCAAAAAGGCAAGGGGGGGAAATGGGTTGTACTTTCTTAATGGCGGAAATGTCACCAAACATTTTCTGTTTGCTTTTGTTTTTAAAACACACACTGTCTAATCTGCTGGTTGCCAGTTCACACACACTAAGAGAAAGCACAGCATGGGCCGGGATGAATTAAAAACAAATCATATAAAGAGCAGGGATGAGGAATTTTCCAGAGCACTATTTTCCATACTCACCATCTTTAGACAGAGAGAAGAGAGGAAGGGGTGCGGACACCACAATTGAGGGAAAGAGAGCACATGGAGGACAGTGGGAGAGTAAGGAAGAAACAAAACAAAGAATAAGGTCAGGCTGGACAGTCAAGATTTTTTGTATGACGAGAGCAGAGCGGACGGAGTGCAGGAAGAACAACTTTGAACCGTCTAGCCATTCCTCTCCGATGCTTACCCTATTCAGGGTCACGGGTGAGCTGTAAACGATCCAAGCCGAAGTACAGTAAGTGAAAAGTGTATTTGTTGTATTATCAGTTTTGATTTTCTCCGGCTTTTAAAAATCACATTTCAGATATAAAAACAGTATTTGTTTTGGGTCTACATATAGTCTCAGTCAGGCGGAATCCCCGCATCTCCTATATCGCTACTTTTCAGAAACATCAATCCATGCATCAATCCAAGGTGGTATTACATTTTACATTGCTATCATATCCCACTGCGCACCGGCATAAACACACCATCGTCTCAAAATCATTTTCAAACACCAATTTAATCGGCTTGCAAAAACAAACATCTAATTTATTGCACTGTTATTGTTCAAAATGGAACGAACCGTGCACATCAAAGTCTGCGCTCATGCCGCCCCTCCGAACAGACAAAAAAAAAAAAAAAAAATCTTTTAATACTTCACAAAGACAAACACCTGTGGTTACAGCTTCCCACACTTCAAAGGCCTCGGAGCAAAAACTGATGCAATGAAATGAATCCGCATGCAAATCTTGGTGGCTGACCCCACAGCGATCCATTTTGAACAAAACAGGCTTACTCAAATCTATCTCATCTATTTTCACTTAACGTCGAACAAACATCCAGACTTTCAATCCTGAGGCAACATAATGTGACGAAAGAGACAAGAGTTTTACTTCTCAGACACAGTTCAAGATATTTCCAGCACTATAATTGGCTAATCATGCATAAAAATGACAAAACGACGTTGGGGAGAGACTCATTATATAAATTTGTTGAAAAAAATATTAATTTGACCATACAGTATTCGGATAAACACTGTAAATTTTCTGCCTGATCGTGAAGATGTGAACTTTTAAGGCCAATGCCATCATCCAAGTGCAATAAAAGAAAATAAGAAAATAATTCAACCCGGGTTGTGCAGAAGCGTTCAAGTCCCTCACCAGTCTCGGTGATGTCAATGAGGCCCAGCAAGTGCATCAATTTGAGGAACATGATGACCAGACACACGATGCCCACCGTCTGCAGGCCCTCTGTCTCCCACCGGACACTCATCCTGCCCTCGTCTTCTAACTTTCCTTCCAAGGTCGCGTGTCTCTGCTGCTTATATGCTCATCGTGGTCGCGCTCTGGTCCATGTCTGCGTCCTGACACTTCGCTCGTCACTCTCTGTCTGTCACACTTCTTCCCCGACGGCGTCTCTTTTTAGCTCGCTCCCTCTGCCATATTAATTGACTGGCCTTTTTTTTGCTTTCTGCACTTTCTGCACCCTCGCTTCACCACCTGATTGCATTTTTTTTTTTGCACTCTAGCCATAAGTGACAGAAAGATGTGATGGTCTGAATGCCCTTCTTAAAGGCTACATATTACGGAAAAGGAACTTTTTCATTGCTTGTATACAAATCATCAGCCATCTGCAAGTCTATGTTTTGTTGTCAGCTTATTTCGGAAAATGTGTCTCCGAGAGAGTAGTTCTGAATTTCTGGTCCACTGTTGCGTAACAGTTGCCCCAAACAAAGCATCCCTGTGGTTGACTTGGACGCTAGCCTGGGTGAAGATCCGAAGCTACTTTCAAGTGACAACTGGATGGCACTCTGTGAAACAATATTAGACAGAAAACACCAAAGCAAAACAGAGCTTAAGCAGAGCTGCTTTGAGACTTGAAGACTGCACAGACTAGCATTAGCTAATGGCTGGGAAGTGGGAAAAGGTTAAATGTGTCAGCTATTTGAGGTGCGACAAAGAAACAGCACTCTGGCATCTAGTCTCACCATGACTCAACACAAAATGGCTAAGTGCTTATGTCACAGTGCTGCGCAGTATCTCACAGACTCACACTACTCTGTTATAATAGTGTTCATTTCTCTCACCCTGTGCCTCTTTTACTGGCTTTTTTGAAGAACAGTGCCATTATTTCTTGGTTTTCCCAAAATATTTTAAGGAATTAAGGCGATGCTACTCAGTGAATGAATAAAAACAGAACAAATCCACAGTTTTGAGGTCAAATGTCAACAATGTGACCTCAATCGCATTGTGCCAAAACCACACCGTGACCTACTTTTCCAAATGTTCCACCGTCTCCTCCGGGATGCTCACAAGGGTACGGCAGCACAAGTATTCGGTGGAGTCCTGACACATTCATGGTGTAATGAAAAGGGAACAGGGAACGTTCACTCCCTCGGGTTCTGTTACACTTGTTCAACGCTCATCTCATGGGCAAGGAACACAGCTCTTGGACTCCCTCTAGTGGACAACTCTTAAAAAAACATACAAAGCCCACCAGCATTTTTTTTGAAGCAGAAGAAATCAGTCTTGTTTTTGTATATTCAACTATAAGTGAGCCTTGTCCCCCCCCCACCCCTCCCCAACTATACTATAAAGTCACTTATTGTGATATAAAAAAAAACACACGGTGTCACAAATGTTACAGAATACAGTTGAAGAAAGAAAATGTTTTTTTTCAATGAAAACACTTTATTCACAAACCGCTAAGCTATGAAAACTACAACACATGGCCTAAAATCGTTCACCAAAAAAAACCTAAAAAAATAAAATAAAAACGGTATATTGAAGACACAAGTGCAATATTTAAAATGTATATGCAACAAACAGTTGTGTCTTGGAACACAAATGCAATACTTTGACTTACTTTCCACATATTATTCCAGAGCTATGAAATTGATTACTCAAGCCCATGGCTTTCCTCACTGATCTGTCTCAGGAAGCTTTTGGCTTTATCATTTCCCCATGCTGATATCAGACATCCCATACTCGCATAAATCTGGCTACGAGCATGACCTCAGTGGTTGCAATTGTATAAGTCATGCAATTTGATGATCTACTTTGGAAATATAACGGTGACGACGAGTGGAGTGGCTAATTCAGACTAATGAGTGAGATAGGATGAGGTTAAGTAGAGTGAGGAGCACGGTGAGACACGTGATGGACATTTTTTTGGGTGCGACTGATGGATGATCAATGCCCTTCAGGGCCCTGGAGGAATTCTACGGGTTCCATATTTAGGCGGCCTCAGAGAAAACCTGCTCAATACCGCATGTATAATTGATGCGAGGTAATGCTAAACCGGGGTGCATCACGACAGGCTTTGGGGAAGCGGGGGTATCAAGAGAGCTGATGCGATTGAAAGGCGTGATGAATAATAAAAGAAAAGAACATTACTGGGGCTTTTGCTGAATTTATTACTTACTGATGCTGAGCAATATTACAAACACTAATGTGGCGCCGGCAGCCTTCTTGCTGTAATTGGCTTGGCATGCTGACTGCAAGCCACTCTGACCCAAAGACCAAAATCAACAAGACCGCGATGGCTCTAGAACTGCAAAATATGAACCAAGAACGCCCAAACGCCCCCAAAGTTATACAAACCATTTTTGGGTGAGATTTCAGCACAGGGAACATCTACAGTAAAGCAATAGTGCTCAAATTTTTTTTACACCACATAGAAAAATATTTAGGACTCCAAGTGCCAGCATTAAAATAATAGTTGCTCAAAAACAGAGAGAGGTTTTCTTCCAAAAAAAAGCATATTTAATATTGTAAGCTATTGTAATGCAAAGTTGAAATGCTAACACGCCTGTCATGTCGTTCTCAGTCGACAGCAGGTGACAGACTGCATTTTTTTAAAGGTGTTAATTGTACATGAAGAATCATGAAGTTATCAAAAAAGACAACTTTTTACTGCTGAAAATGGATACATAAGTTTCGTACCCCTTTAATATGATCGGCGTCTTCACACACTTTGTAGATGACTATCATTCATTACAAATAGAAACATAATTAAATGTAATTTGGGCAAATTTGTTATTTCTGATGTGTGCCTCAAATTGGTAGTAAGCCTTCACATAGCAAAACTCAATTTCAAAAAGTTTGGTGACCTCTTCCCTGGTACACACAGTTCACACACACTTGGCACATTCCAACAATACTTATGAAAAGCCTCGAGAGTCAACAGTAAATCTTCCCCCTTCTCATTCCCTCTGAATTATGCGTCTGTCAGAAATCTTTAAAGAATTCTTAATCTGCAGCATTTTAGGTTCATTTTTATTAAGGTCAACTCGTTTGTACATTGAAAAGGTCATTAGGAATGTTAAAATGTGACTTAAAACATTGGGGACAATTTTATTCTGGAATAAATAAATGTGTTCTTCATTCGTTTCTGAGGGGACAAACATATTCTGGAATAATGGGCAACTTGGAAGTCAACCAGGCAGCACGAAGAGCTAGTGGCTAACATAGTGGCCTCACAGTTCAGGGATTTGGACTTCCTGTGTCTGGATTTTCCATGTTCTCCTCGCGCTCACTTGGCTCATCCCCACATACTCCGGAGGGATTCCACCCACATTCCAAAAACATTCATGTTGGGTTCACCGAAGACTCTTAAATCGTCCGTCGGTGTGAACGTGAGTGTGTGAATGGATTTTTGTCTACACGTGCACTGCAATTGATTGATGACCAATCCAGAGTGGACCCTGCCTCTCGGGATAAGATTTCATCTCACTTGTGACCCTAGAAAGATAAGTACTACAGAAAACGGATGGATGGTGGAAGCCAATCAGAAGAAATTACTCAGCAGCCGGCCCTCTGTTGGTCAATTAAAAGCCGACGCAATCAGCTACCTGAGTCACCCTACCGTCCTTCCATCCATCCAGCCATTGTCCCAATCATGAGACCAACCCCCTAAAGGTCTACCATCACACCTGTCATGTCCAGCCGACAACCCACCGATCAACCTTCCCTTTCCAACAATAACGACCTACACTCATTTGTCCAACCAAACCTCAATCAGCCCACCTATCCATTGACCCAATCACCTATCAACATACTTACACAATAGTTGGAATACTTTCCCAGCAGTCTCTTTCTAACCATCTGTGTACATCACATCACTCATTTTATTCTTTATTTTATTGTTTTATTTCCTGCGCTTCTTCTTTGTTTAGCTATTATGTTATTTTCAAGTGCACAATGTGTTTGCTGGCTCGGTATTGCGGCTGTTATTTATCAAGCGACAACAGGCTATCAATTACTGTTGTAGGTGTAAGGTTTAGATTGGATTTAACAGAAATGTTTTTCATCCTGGAAACAAATAATAAAAAGCAAAAGCCTTATAATAACAAAATGTCCCCTGCCGTTCTCTTTACAAGTCTATCCCAGGCTTTGTGCCAGGTGTATGCTTCTATTTTTTATATATTTTTTTTTACAACACTTTGTAGGTCAAATGTTGTCTTCGCAGTCGCTAATATCATAGAGGTTTTGTGCCTTCTGAGGCAACGATAAAGCTGATAATGGAGAGGGGCCCATGTTGACCCTTACCTTCAAAAGAGGACATGGGTTCCAGTATGCCAAACTGCTTGAGAACAGCCATGAAGAGAATGATAACCACACCGATGGCAAACAGCTCCATGCCTTGGATCCCCATGGTTGCACGGGACGGGCTTTATAGATGAAAAAGGCAGAGACGACCCGGGTTCGCGTGGGCCGGGCCGCCCGGCAAACAAGTGTTCTCACCAGAGCTCAGCCAGGGAGTGACGGGAATCAGCCTGACAGGTGGGAGACTGCATGGGTTTGTATCGAGACACCATGAGAAGCGGGCCAACAAGCTGCTTGTAATGTCAACAGTGATGCTGAAGTGGAAACAACGTGGATGCCGACATATATGGAAAACCTCCCTCTGTGGATCCGGGAGGCAAGGCGGGGGTCATTTATTATTAGGGACAATAAAAGAGATGTTTCAAGTCACTTTCCTCCAGATTCCCTCTTAAAGCAAACAGCTATTATCAGTCCGCCTGTCATCGCTTTGCTCTAAATCACATGACGGGTTCACCTAAGGATGTTTTTGAGGAATAGCACACACTTTGTTGGGTGTCCCCCATAGTCCTCGTGACTTTGGGATCCCGATCTCTTCTTTCAGGTGGGAGAAAGTCCAACTGCGTTGAACAGTGGTGGCTTTATCATCCATATGACGCAATTGGAAATAAATCACCAAATCACATGCGAGAAAGGCGTGAACCCAAAACAGAACAAAACACAGCTTGTTTCGCCAGCTGCTGCTCACTGCAGTTCCGAGGCAATGTCGGAAAAAAATAGCAAAAAGTTCAATGCAAGATTGCAGAGAAGCAAGCAATGGTCAGACAGTGGCTAAAAATGAGCCAAGAAACAACTCCAACGTCCTCCTGCTGCTCCGGTTCTGGATTTAGTAATCCCCAAATGCATCCAGTAATTTAAAATTGAACTTCAATTTTAGGCTCCTCTGGTTGAGTCCACTTCTGCACACACCCAAATCCAAATCCACCTCCCGATATGGAAGCGTCCAGTACGAGCGAGGAGAATCTGTGAAGGGATACCCCCGCCAATGCGACTCTGCCCACGATGCACCTCGAGGTATAAAACCAAACTGCCCCGTGCATTTTATACCTCCGGCTATCCCTACTTCCCTCTGGTCTCACCCTCCTCCGCCTTTTCCTCCTCCTCTTCCTCCTTTCTCTCCATCTGATATGCCTTGAAACCCCGAACGCACCACCCCCTCCCTGCATTTCCTCCGTCGTTCCATAACTTTGGTCAACCACATACTTTTAACACCCCCCCCCCCACACACACACCCATAACCCTTACTCCCACCACTTTTGTTTACAATTTTGTGACTTGTAGTGACAAAAAAAAAAAAAAATCTTTCTCGCAAAATATTCCACAGCTGGCCACAGCTACAATAGATAAAATGTGAGTCATGTCAAAAAAGGATCCGTGATCACTCTGCACTGGCTAATGCATCAAAGTGAGGCTAGGGTGTGTGTGTGTGTGTGTGTGTGTGTGTGTGTGTTAATTCACTGACTTGGTCGAAGGAAGAAGACACAAAAAGGGAGGCCAAAGTCAGCAAAATCAATCCTTGTGGTCGGACAGGAGTGGGGAGCTCCCCTTCACTTGTGCTCTTTTTTTTTTTTTTTTTTTTTTTAAATCTCCACTGCTTTGCACTCCGGGAAAAAAATAGCATCAAACATGACATCTCACTTTTTTTTTTTTTCCCAGCAACAGTGCATGTGCTGTCAATAGTTGTCAATCGGTAATAGAGTGAGTGCGCTGTCAATCTTTGCACATCATCCCCTCAAGGTCAAGTTTAGATTCTTAATTCGCACTTTAGTGAAGCAGAGTGGATCAACTGACGGGCACCTGCACACACCCTGAAGCATGATATATGTGCGTAGTGGTGCTTTTCAAGGGGTGTTCTGTGTGTATGTGTGTGCGTTTCTGCAGCCATTAGGACACTAACAGGTTTTTAAAAGGAAGGCTGTCCTCTGCCTGCTGACACAACAGTCAGTAAAGGCTGATTGAAATTGCATCATGTCTAACCACAAAGTAAAATCTAAATCTTCTGCATGGATGTTGACAAAAATCCAACTCATCACCTCGAACTGCCCCCGCGCCCCCCGTCTTTAGATCCACTGCAAAACTGCTCGATACTGTCACATGTTTATGTGGTGTATGTAATTGCTGCCAGTCGGGCTTCGATCCGTCAAACCCAAAAGAATGAGATGAGGGTGGGATATCAGGATCAATGTAGTGCTGTCTCTAATGTCCGTAGTACACAAACAAGAATGCAGGCACTTGCCAAAAGGTAAGGTCAGCAGACCTTGACTGCCCATTGGTGGCTAGTTGCGGGACTGCAGAGGTTTAAAAAGCATCTTTGCATCATACAAAGTGCTAAAATTGATTTGTGGGACAATTTGAATTTGTGAATGCAGACATTTTATGATCATGTTTGCTTTCATTATTATTTGATAAAAAAGGATGGAAAGTCTTCAGGAATGTTAGTGGTCCAGTTAGAACCCCGGTTCCTCAAGAGTCATATCCTTCTTGTTTTAGAGCTCTCCCTACTCCGACATACCTGATTCAATTCATCATGGTCATTTCAGGCTTCTACAGAGCTTGCTGAGGAGCTGATCGTTTGAATCTGTTTCAATCAATTTCAGGCATGGGTTCATGTAACATTTTTTTTTTTACCATCTATCATAATGTTTTTGTTTTTTTTAACTGTCCATGCGGTGCCCATGACCCTCATGAGGATATGAGGGTAAGCGGCTCGAATATGGGATGAATGGATGGCTGTCCATGCAGTGCGTGTAAATTCTATGCACTCCATGTCAGCAGTCATATTGATGTCACTCTCTTAAATAACTTGACAAAGCATTAACAGCAAAACTTATTTTAGATGATGTCACATAGAATAGATCTTAAAGGCCCCAAATTATCCTTTTGAGATCTAGGACAAAAAGCAAGGAAACAAAAGTCGGTCGAAATCTATTTGAGCCTAAAACAAGTTCAATGACTGCACACGTTGTGTTCGCACCAAAATATGAAAATAACGTCAAGCGCCAGTCAGGAAACATCTTGCCTGTTGATTGAGCTGAGGGACCATTACAGACGGAGTTTCTGGAGACACATTTGTGACGTTCTAAGATGTATACAGTTTCACCACAATACACATGCTAGCATAAATTTGTACGTTTTCCGCCTTGTGGCACCGCCCCCCTAAAAGGCAATTCCTTCACTGGCACAAAGCGATTCCAAGCAGGAACCCTTATCCCATTACTCCCTCACTCATGAGTTGTTGTGCAAGTGCACCAAATGTTCAGACCTACTATGACAACTGCTGCAGCCATGAAGAAGACTAAACGGACTCAGTTTTGACAGAGAGAAGACCCAGTTCCTACCTGAGCGATGGTACCTGGCTGCACTGTGTCCACAGTGAGAAAGACAGCTGGGCCGCGAAAGACGCCTGCGGGCCTCCACAGAGAGAGCAGCCATCACAGCTCCCATAATGCCTCAAAACAGCCCAACTTTCTTGGAACTAAGCTGCTCTGAGACACGTTCAAACTTTGAAAGGACACACGCGAACGCAAAGACGGTAATCTAAACGCGATGGATGAGCATCCAGGGAAGACTCAAAACCCCAAAGTGAAGACGCTCACTTTCCCTGCCAGGTGCTTGTGGCCCACGATGACAAAACGGCTCCACACACATCTCAGTTGGTGGGACCACCTTTGAAAGTACGTTTGAGCCTGGAACAGAGCGAGGGATCGAATAGCAATACGGAGCTTGTGACCTTTTACATCACACACCGCCGCACGCCTCCACATTGCATTCGATGCCGTCTCGAGCACTTCCTGTCCTCTGAACCCCTGCACACTGACTCTCCAATAACCTCTGATGACATACAGCAAAAGCAAATTCCAGTATATTTGCAGTTATTAGAAACATGATCGATACCACGCCTAATTTTCAGAACAGTGCAGCGAACCCCAACTTTTTTTTTTTTTTTTTTTTTGCACCTCAGACCAGTTTCACATAAATCACAGGACAGCTGCGTGTTTGCACGGAATTTAGTCGAGGGAGGACGCTCTTAGAGGCATGACGGTGTGAAAGTTAACCGTTTGATACCTACTGTCATCATGATCACGGTACAGTATTCATGTACTGTACCATTTTAATTTCCTACTAGAAAAAAAAACATATTCTCAATAAAAACAAGCTAGCACTGAGCATCCCAAACCGGGTTGTGCTAAAGAGAGTTTCCACTGCACAGTTCTTGAAGAGGAAAAATATTTCACTAATGACGGGATATTGTGATATTGGAGGAATGCCGTTGATGTGTATCTTTTTCCCATCTTCTTATATCACTGTTGAGAAACATCGCGACAGATAAACACTTCCGAAAAAATACTTTTGCTCAAATGACCTGCAGTTCGTAAATAAGTGAAGTCGGGTATCAAAATTCGTACCCCTTGGCAGTACGTATCCAGTTTCAAAATAGTTGGTGACCTTTGCGTGAAAATCTTTCAAATGTGCACACATAAGACTACCTTGACCAGACGTCCCAGCGATGAAGCCCAGAAAGCAGCGCAGCAGCTTGTCAATCTTCCTCTTGCGGGCTGCGCTGCAAGAATTCATCCTTTCAAGCTTTAGGACGATTTGGCCCTTCCCCAGGACCCTGAATAGACCAAGAACTTAGCAATTCACCCTCAACTCAGCAGGTAACAATCTGTGTCCTCATGGTTCGATTCAGCTCACCCTCAAATTGTTTGCCCCGTTTTCCTGCAAGTGATGTTCACTAATTCCTCCTTCTGGACATCTTCCTCTCTCACTTGTCTCATCTGTGCGTGTCAAGTCACTCACGTGATGTCGGGACCTGGACTCAACCACATCCCCCATCTGATGTCGAAACGCGCCAGTATGTCTCAACCTTGAGTGAACACAAGCTGCAGAAGATGAGAAGTTGATTCTAGGAAAGCCCTGCGGTCTTCACCTCGCTTCTCTACTCTAATCCGACTCGTATTACCACCCCTTGCTCCCGGCCCAGTGATCTGGCTTCTCCATCAGGATGTGGGGCTTATTTTCAAAGCACAGCTTCAAAAGAGAGAACCGCTCAACAGATTAGATTAGGTACACCTGCACACTAATCCTGTTTTCTTGACTAGTTAACCTCATAGGGTTGTGGATGGGTTGGAGATGGTCCCAGCTGACTTTTGGGCAAGAGGGACAGTTGACGCTGGACTGGGTGACAGCCAATCACATCAAACACTTGATAGCACAGGGAGGAAATGAAAATGACACAGACTAAGACCAGGGTTGATATTCAAACTCAGAACCGCTCAATTGTGTGGCAGACGTGCTAGCCATTAAGTCACTGTGCCGCCTGTATTCACAGAGGATAAAGAATATATGCGTGTGAGTATTGGTATATGTCTGAGAAGGTGCTCAAATATCCATTGCTCAAAGGTTTATAACTCCACAACACTGATGCTATTTGTTTGCCCATCTATGGCACTTTGCCTGATTTTTTTTTTTAGCATCAAGCTAAAAGGATATATCCGAACCAATCTATGTGGCTGCTCTAAATACAAAACATGTAATTGTGTTTTTTATGTTTAGTTTGACAGTACACTTGAACTGGGGGTGGCAAAAACGGCTTAAAGCCTCTTTTTGACAAATTAGTCACAACATTTTTTTGCTGACAAGTCAATGTGAAACGTCCTAACGACGGCTCATATCCCGCAAACTTTAAGTTGGGTATCTCAAAGCACCAATTAACAATGTTATAAAACTATGCTTAAATACTAAGGCAGCAAAGTGAATAAAAACTATAAAAGTGAGGTATATTTTCTTTTAACTCAATTTTGTCTAAATTTGAGTGTTGATATCGATACACAACAGTGATGTTGAACTGCACTGTATTGAACAGAACAGGTGTACCTAATGTTGTGGCCGGTGAATGACCTGCACAAGAACGAGCCCTGTGATCATTTAAAAGCCTTTTTGTCTTTTCAAGCTTCAACACATAATAAAGCTGAACAAGACTCACACCATTTCCATTGTAATTTTCCCAGCTATCCACTACTTTCTCTTACATACTGCTCCTTGATATTCTGTACACCTGCAACCCCACAACCTGTTTCAACCTCACAAATATCGAGTGCAAACAGCCACTGCTGTCTGCCACCCCCCACCTCCCACCATTCAATACACATCTCCATCTCAATGCTGCTATTTTTAGTTGCTAGTCATTACC